CGGCGGGGGGGGCGGGGAGCGGCGGAGGACCGTCGGGCCTCAGCGAGAGCGGTTCTCCGAGTAACTCTTGGCAGCACGGGCAACCGGTCGCTCAGACGCCGAACCAAATACAGCAGCAGCAGCAGCAGCAGCAGCAGCAGCAGGTGAGGGGGGGGGGCAACATGGCGGCGGTAGTTCAAGCCGGTGGAGCTTCGGGTTGGGGGGCGCCGCCGCAAGGGAATTCCCAGCCGCGGCAACCGGGAGACGTGATAGACCCTGTTCAGGCTGCCAACCGCTCCCACCTACAGGTTAGAGGGTGCAAGTGTTGACCTTGGTGTCTCGGAACGAGGGGTTTGAGCGAAAAGAGGATGCGGTACATGCATCTCTCGAGTACGACCTGCGAAGTCGATTCGATCGTGTCCTTTCCGTGCATCCGACCGCTTGCGGGTTGGGAGTAGAAGTGGAAGATGCACGCTGCTGCTGTGTTGTGGGCCCGAAGCCGAACACCTCCCAACGCTGCTGGTTTTTTTTTTCAGCTTCGTGTCTGGCGTTTTGTTGGCCCCTGGTGGCCCTGTTGGTTTTGGTTCGACAACGAAGAACAGCTGCAGGGATTCTCTCTGGGCGGGTATGCACGTATCCGATCTTTGTCATCGCTGGGCCTGATGCACACATGGTTTATGCTCTTGAAGAATATGTCAGTTCATTTGGGGCTCTTTTCGTTTCGATGGTGCGTAAGGACGGCTGTGACAGTTCGAGGCTCGCGGGGGGCAGGGTGGAGAAAGGAAAGGAACTAGGTAACTACAAGCAAGGGATTTCGTACGAAATGTGGCACAAGGTATTCAATGCAAAATGTGGCATGGGAGTGGAAGGGGACCTAGGTGTCTATGCCGTCTCTTTTCAGGAGTATTTTGGGAACGGTGCCCTGTGTTAACAGGCGTGTGGCCAAAGTTCCACCCACGCCAGTCGCTGTAGCTATTTCTAGCACCCCGTTCCCGCCATTGACCATCCACCGAATTCGGCTAGATCCCCACCGCCGACCGTGAATGCTCCGCCTCCCGATGACGCCACAATTGAGACAACAGGCAGGTCTCACCGCTGCCTCAAACCAGCCGTCGCAGCAGCAGCAACAACAGCGGCAGCAGCAGCAGCAGCAACAGCAGCGGGCACCGGCCGACCTCCCTGGCGCGAGCAACAACAACCCGGTGCAATCCTTGCATGCCATGCAATCCCAAGCGGTAGCCGAGCATGTCCGCCTGGAGCAAGAGGCGCTGCAACGGCAAAGGCAGCAGCAGCAGCAGCAGCAGCAGCAGCAGCAGCAGCAGCAGAGCCGCGGAGGAATAAACGGAGGTGGCATGCATGGAGCAGGAACCAGGGACGCTGGTCCAGCGCGACAGCACCAGCACCAGCAGAACCAACACCTCTACCAGCAGCACCAAGGGGAGACGGAGTGGGGAGATGTGGGGGGGAGAGCGCCGCCCGTGGAAGCGATACAGCAGCAAGTTGAAGAGAAGGACAATGCAAAGGCGGGGAGATTCCCGCCTAAGAGGACCGTAAAGGACCAGGTTAGCGTGGTTTTCGGGGTTGCGCGGGGAGGACCGGGGTCGCGTATTCCAGTTGTTGGGTTCCTCGTGGTGTTGGCAGTAGATGCATCCATGTATTTTACCTGTTTGGCTTTAGGCGATTTGTGAAGATAACGTTAGATCAAGGCAGCAAGAGCAGAGGCAGCATCCAGCCAACCCAGGCTTGAAATGCGGGCTTGCTCTTGCAGCCCGTTGAATCGAGGTTCATCGACCCCCGATCACACCTCGAGTTCTCGAAGGACAAGGTCGTAGTATTCGACTTGACCTGCCGTATCGAGTCAACGGACGTATGTACGCCTGCTTGCATATCAGCAAGCCCCATGCCAACGACCCCCCTCCCCCTCGCCGCATATCGCTCCGTCCGGCATGCGAGGTGTACGGTCTAACGCCTACAGCATGCGTGCACATTAGGTCCCCGCCCCCCCCGCGCCCCCTCTCTCTCCATTTTTACAGTTTGGCCTGTTGTACCTGGCGTACCCGAACAACACCGCCGGCCCTCAAAGGGTCCGCCCAAGCGCCCACCTCACCGTGCGCTGGGAACTCCCGGCGGGTTGCGTAGAAGGGGTGAGCAGGCCTCGACGCGAGGGAGGCGGGGGAGGGGAGCCCCAGCGGCTGATGGTCGGGCTCTTTCGCCTGGGGGTGGCGTCCAACACGGCGGGCATCATCTCCAAGAAGCTGTTCGAGAGGGCGCCCAGGGGTTCTTGCGACCCGAGGGAGATGCTCTTCGGAACCGTGCCGTTCTACGCGCCGAAGTCGGTAGGTGGTGCTTTTTTCCCTGAACCGCTTTCGCGAGAAATTATATATTTTGATGAGGAAAATATGGCAACAAGGGGGGGGGGGGGGGGGGG